TTCCTTCATCCAATGTGAACGTAGCTTCCAATGGATCAATGATCATTTCTTGTCTTATAAAATTATGGAGAAGACAACATGCCATAATGATCCTATTTTTTAATTGAATTGGATAAAATGATCTATCACTTAAAATCTTCCACCTTTCTTTCAAAATCCCAAAACACCGTTCTATAACATTTCTCGCAGATGAATGCTTCAAATTAAAAAGCTCCTTTGTTGTTGTAGGTTGGTATCCATCACGCCAATCATTCAAATGATATCTTTGACCCCTATAAGGAGCTAGAAAACCCTCCCCATTTGTATAGCCAGCATCAACCAAGTAATAACCTAATAATAATAATAATAATTAATTATTATTACACTGACTAAACCTATATTATAAAAATTATATTTAATACAAACTTGGTCTTGGAACTTTCAACCCGTAAGGTCTAATAAGAGCATCCCGAAGTACTATACTATCGGCTGCTGATCCTTCCCATCCAGATACTACATAAATAAACTGCATATCTTGAGAAACCCCCTAACACATTTGTTGCGATGTCATTCTTTCGTGTTCTATATCTAGGTTTGTCTTCAAGAGGTACTAAGCACTTTATATATGTCCCATCTAACGCCCCAAGACAATTCTAATACAAAAAAGTGTTATTAATTATTTTTACAAAAATCAAATTACGGTTAAAAAAAATGTATAAAGAAGTACATATCTACCTTAAACCATTTCCATCTTGAATCGGTTGAGTTTTCAGGAACCGGTTCCAGTTTTTTAAGCAAATGTTAATGTAATCGTAATACCGCATTACAAACACGAGTAAAATATCTACTAATGGTTTCACCAGAACGATAGAAACGACTAATTATTATTCGATTCTTTACATTATGTGCAATAATATGAAGAAAGATAGCAACTTGTTCTCCAGTACTAACAGTCCTACTTCCTCGCAACCTTCATAATGTTTCCAGTATCCCACACAACTTTGAAAAACAACTCCGGTTCATTCTAATTTCTGATATGGCTAGCGTATCACTCTCATAAACAAGTCTATGCAATATCGGGTACTGATCAATCTTCGGAGAAAGGTTTGAAATTCTAAGTTTATATTTTTTCCTTCGGACTATTAATATCCAACTCGATAAAATGAAGATCATTACAACCATGGAAACTGCATAACAAGATTCCATGTAATTTTCCATTCTTCTTTCTTTATGTTTGCGTGTGCTTAAACATAATCTAGGCATATCTTGCAATAAAAATAAAAATACATAAAATGAGATACCACAAAAATATACCAATAAAATTACAAAAGAGTATTGCCTATAAATTGAAATAATAGTCATAAGAAAAGAATATTTTTTAACATAGACAAACAATAAAATAAAATAAAAATACAATACATGGGATCATACAAATTTGGAATTTAAAAAAAAAACTGGAATAGAAAAAATCTGGAATAAAAAAAATAATCATTCGTACATATTGCAGCGTCGATTAGTCGAAGAAGAAAATACTGGAGAAGAACAAATATAGAAGAAGTATACTTAGCGGTTTATTGAAAAAAAAAATTAAAATTAAAAAATAAATACTGCATGAAAAAAAGAAAAGAGAAAAAAAGTAATTTATACCTGTACTCGAAATCCGGTGAAATAAAATGGCGGTGGAAGGAAAGATGGAAACAAGCAGCGAGCGAAAAGAAGAAGAAGAAAACGCAAATATGACAAGAAACAAGAAGAACGGTTCCCAGGAGTAATTCCTCAAATGCGAAAGGAAGGAAAAAAGTATAGTGTAATTGAAATCCGGTGAAGTGAAATCGTAGTGGGAGAAAAGATTACAAGTAGAAGGGAGCAGAAGAAGATGCAGAAGAAGCAAGAAGAAGAAGATGCAGAAGAAGCTGATCACGCCGTCGCGAGAAAGAAAAGAAAAAAATAGGGTTTTTTTGGGGAAGGGTATAAAGGTAAAAATCAAAATACAATAGGAATGAGATTTAAAAGTAATAGGGGGTACCTTTATTAAAAAATTCCTCATTTGCGGGATTTTATACAGTTTTTAAAAATCCCAGTGTTTTAAATTCAATTATTTATTTTGTAACCAAACATGGATTTGGTAGGATTTTAAAATCCAAATCTCACGGAATCCTGCCAAATCCTTGAACCAAACAGCCCATTAATTTTTACCCAAATTTCAAACATACCATTATACAAATAATTACTTTATACATAAAGTCAAATGACAAAAATGTTAAAGTCACTTACACATTTTCACGGGTGAATTGCAATAAATATCCCGTACCTATACCCGATTATCACTTTTGTCCTCAATCTATCACCCTGGCAAAATATATCCCGCACCTTTACAAAACTCGTCATTTACGTCCTCTCGTCGGGCGTCATTGTCACGTGGCAGTTGAACCACGCGCTCTCGTGTACGAAATCTACGCGGCATTGTTTGATTGGGTGATTATATTAAGATATTAAAGTATATATATATAAATTAAATTTGCAATTTGATCCCCGTGTGAAATTGCAATTTAACCCAGGGATTAAATTGCAATTTCACACAGGATCAAATCGCAAACTCACCACAAAACCCCCAACTCACTGATGGTGGACTTCAGAAAATCGATCACATTCAGGTAGAGGAAGTTCATTCAAAATCGATTGCATTCATCTGGGGAGTTTATCTCACTCGCCAATCTTCCAAAAAAGGTCTGAATTCGAGACTTTTGTTGTAGGAGGAACAAACATAGCTTCATTCCTGTACTTTTTTTTTTGTTCTTGATGATATGAGCAACGCCGAGGATAAGGGCAAAGGCAAGATCGAGGGAAAAAGAATCGACTTTGGGGTACATCCTTTATATATTAAGTATTTTTCGCTTTAATTTTATATATATTCTTCTTGTGGGGTACCGTTGTCGGAAAACTCCAAATGTTTCGATTCAAACCATGGTCCTACATTAGAAATATTTTATTGTTCTATTTTGGTCCCACGTTCCTTGATTCTGTCAATTTGATACAAATTTGGTCCTCCTCTCCATTGTCATATGAAATTTTCATGCTGATTTTTGTGTTATGCAGAACCTGAAAGCACACATTTAACAGTGTGCTTACATTTCGATAGAGTCTTGTACCACACTCCAATAGAAAATTACGTTGGGGGATCCACCAAGAATTTTGATTTCGTGCTAGCGGGAACACTTACTAAGGACTTGACGGAGTTGTTTGGGACAAATACTGGGATTAACATTTCGGAGTATAGTAAGTATTACACTATAATTGGTAACAATTTAAAGCTATTAGAGAGTGATGAGGAGTTCCAAGATGCACCTTATGAATCTTTAATTAGTAGAAAATTAGATATTTATGTAGATCTTGTAGGTAATGGGATTGGTCTGGATGATGATGAAGATGGTGAGGACAGTGACTTTACAATGGGTAGTGGAAGTCACGGTAGTGATGATGATATATTTGAGAAGTTTGTGGATATGGACTGTTATGATGTTGGGGATGAATCTGTTCCTGGAGTTGAGGAGACATTGTTGGGAGAGGGCGAGCTTGGCAATTCGGGAGGGATGACTATTGAGGGTGAAGGAGATTAATAACCCGGTTTAGATGATGATGGGGAGGATAGTGACTTTACAGTGGGCAGTGGAAGTCACGGTAGTGATGATGACTTATTTGAGGAGTATGTAGATATGGATTGTGATGATGAGGGTGAAGGAGATGAATTTACAAGTTTAGATGATTACGATATAGGCCAAGATATGGCTAATGAAGTAGTTGTTGAAGAGGTAGCGGATTGTGGTGTTAGTGTAGGAGGGAGTGGGCAACAAAACACTTGTAAATTTGACGTTGGGAATGAAGGATCAGGGGCCGAGAATGATGAAGAGGATACACCGGAGGAGAATCTGGTAGTTGGAAGAGATGGGGAGTAGAAAGAGTTACTTGACTCAGAGGATGAGAGGACAGTGCGCAGGCGGGGCGTGAGCACGACTTTTCCAAAGTTCAATCCACTCGATGTGTACGCACCGAGGTTTGATATAAGGATGATATTTGCAATGAGGGATGAGGTTAAGAGAGCAATACAATCTCATGCAATTGCAAAAAAAAGAAGTGTGGCATTTACAAAGATTGACAAGCGCTGGTTATATGCGAGGTGCAAAGAACCAAATTGTGAGTGGAAAATCAACGCAGTGAACGTGAAGGATGACACTGCTTTCCAAGTAAGTCTATTGCATCCTAAGCATTCGCAGTCATGTCTTCCTTCTTTTAATGTTGCGAATTTTAAGACTTCTTGGTTGAGTGAAAAGTTTGCTCATAAATTTAAATGTGATCCGAAACGTGAGGTACGAGGTTTTAGGAAGGAGATAATGAGAGAGCTAAACATGAGTGTGTCAAAAGATCAGGCCTATAGGTCAAAGAGACGTGCTTTAGAACGGATAAGTGGAGATCCTATTTACCAATAGAGTCGTCTTTTGGATTACGCACATGAGTTAAGAAAGAGTAATCTAGGGACCACAGTTGTGTTAGGTGTTGAGACTGATGATGGAGAATATGTTTTTGGCCGTATTTATGTGTGCTATGTACCTTTAAAAGAAGGATTTAGTGTTGGTTGCACCTATAATTGGTGTGGATGGATGCCACTTGAAGGGTATTTACGCTGGTGTCTTACTTACCGCCGTTGGAATTGATTTGAATAATAACTTGTTCTCAATTGCCTTTTCAGTGGTTAGTAGAGAGAATGGTGAAACATGGAGATGGTTCTTGACTTTGTTGAAGAAAGATTTAAGGATCGGGGGTGACAAACATGTTACATTCATGTCTGATAAGCAAAAAAGGGCTGATACAGGCCTTCGATGTTGTATTCCCATAATGTGATCATAGATTTTGTGTTATGACACATGCATAACAACTTTGTTAATGCCGGATTTAGAGGAATTGCACTGAAAAATGCAGTTTGGTGTGCTTCTTTGGCTTCTATGCCGGGGGAATTTCGTCGTTGAATGGATGAGTTGAAAGATCTTGACAGTGAGGCACACAAATGGTTCGATGATAAGCCTGTAGCGCAGTGGAGTTGGAGTCACTTCAAAGTTTATCCAAAGTGTAATATGTTGTTAAACAATGTGTGTGAAAGCTTTAATAGTGCGATCCTAGATGCACGAGAGCAACCGATTTTTTCGATGTTGGAGTCAATAAAACAATATCTCATGAAAAGGCTGCAAGCGTATAGAGATATGACTGCGTGTAAATGGAAAAACTTGCGGTTCTTTCCAAATGCATTGAAGCTGCTGGAGAGAAATGTTCGGAGGGTATCTGACTGCATTCCTATCAAGTCCGATAATACGTATTATGAGATTTGTTGCTTCGATGGGAGGCAACATGCTATTAATCTTCGGGAAAGAACTTGCACATGCAGAAAATGGCAGCTAAGTGGAATTCCTTGCAAACATGCCATCTCTAACCAACGAGAAGAAATTCAAGACTACGTCAATGAGTACTACTCCGTGGAGACATACATTAAGGTATATGCTCCTGCCATAATGGCTTTCACCAGTGAGATGTTTTGGGAGGTAACGGGTTTTAATCCACCTAAACCCCTAACACAAATGAGATTGGTTGGGAGACCTACCTTATCGAGGCGAAGGGAACGGGATGAACCTATGAGAAAAACAAGAAAGAAGGCTGAAACTTTAATGTTAAAGAAAAATCAAATGACTGTTCGTTGTAGAGGATGTGGAAACTCTGGACACAATGTTAGAAAATGTCCAAAGACAGTTGAAAACCGTTGAATTGAGGAATCATCAACACTGGTATGAACTATAGCAGTGTGTAGTTATTGTATAATATTTGTGATATACAATCATGCATTGACTCTTCTTTGTATATATAGGTGGCTGGACAAGACTCTACGACAACATCCATAGAACATAGGCCACGACGGATGTCTGTAAGTACAACCTAACACAATACATAATATATATCATTTCTGTTACGAAGTAAGTTGGAATCTATATTGCATTATTCGTAGACACGAATTCAAAAAGCTCTAGCAATTAATGCCGCCAAATCAAGCACCACTGTTCCATTTAGTCAACCTGAGGTAATTCCCACACAAGAATCCATGATTACGACCCACCCAAAACGTCGAGCCAGGCCACAAAAGGAAAAAGCCTTTGAGGCTGCAACAGGGACTCAAAGCTAGCAGGTATATACATTTATTAATGAATTTGTACACTCTAACATTGCTAATTATCCAATGATCTTGTAGGGACCATCTATGTGGGAGCAATTGCACGACACGGGAGCAACCCGCATTGTAACACCCCCAGTTGGCTCATACTGGAAATGCTATCGCCACACTGCATCATGAGGTCGTCACCTCCTACTTCGGGCCCCACAATACAGTGTTAAGGCTAAAATTAACCATAAAAGCGCATTATTATATACCAAAATCTGATTGATGAATATTTACAAAACACACTCCTAAACAAGAGGTTTTTCCGATTAAAAATTTACATATAATACAATAGATGTAAGTTCACTCACTCAGCCCGTCTTTCTATATCCCGAGACGTCCCTTGTCTCGGATGTGCCATGCATACCTGAAACAAATATTTTTCTTAAAAGCAATCTAGAATTAAATCCATTTTAAGAACTAACGTGAAATATGTCATTTCATACCTTTTTAAAATAAAGTCTAAATCCCGCCAATCATAAAATACGTGTCATGTCATGCCAATAGTGAAATGATGCAACAAAGATATCAAACTCGACAACAATGCACATCCACAAATATATATATGATAACTCTTGATTTTGTCATATTTTATAGCTTATATTTATTTAATTAATTATTCATTTATGTCAAATTTTGGTATTATTTATGTTAATTTACTCTGATAATTGTATTTATTTCATCTTGTTTGTATAATATTAATTTATTAGTTTTTAAGTGTAATTTATACTTATTTTGGTGTATAAATTAAATTAATTGATGTGTTTTTTAAATTATATTTGTAGGCATTATTCATGTGCTATTTAAGTATTTACTTTTGGCTAAATTAATTTTATTTAATAAGTATTATCTATTTAAATAAATATTTATAAGGTGTTTATTATTTATATAGGTGAAATAATACTTGAAAACTGATATGAGAGTCCAAAACTGGTATTAAAAAGCGAAAAAATGGGTTCAGAAGCGAAAAAAAAGTCACCGGTGCAAAAATCAACAAAAGTCAACGGTCAACGCAGAAAAGTCAACACGCGAAAGTCAAAGTCAACCGCTGCACGGAAACAAGCGACGGCTGCATAGGAGTGCGCGAGTTCGGAAGGCAAGCGAACACGGAAGGCAAGTGACGGCTGCATAGGAGTGCGCGAGCGCGGAAGGCGAGCGGCGGCTGTATTTATGAGTACGGAAGGCAAGCGGCGGCTGACACGGAAATGTGAGCGGAGCGGAAGACCATGCGTGGAAGTGAGGGAAGCGGCGGCTGGTGCGGAATTTGAGCAGCGGCTGCATTAATTCTCGCTGCATTTATTGCCGCTAGTCAACGGTGCATTTACTACACAGCTCCCTTAATTAAATTCCTGCACTGCTTTTTAGCCAATTTTTTACTATTTTTGTGTAATTTTTTATTCTAGAACCTTATAGAAAATAGGTAGTTATTAGTAGTTATATTAGTTGCTATTTTTAGAGTTAGTTATTTATGGTTATTTTTAGAGGTAGTTAGTAGTTATTTTTAGAAGTAGTTATTTATTGGCGGTTGTAACTGCCAAGCTTCTAGAAGCTTTTCCCCCTATAAATATCACCTCTAATTGTACCATATATTTATACACCATACATATACATATACACACCATATATACACAATAATACAAATTCTATACACTCCATTTTCTCAATTTCTTTTCTCCCATATTTTTATCTAGTTTAATAATACGGGATTTTCGGTTTTGTGTCGCGAGCAAACCGATTTTCTCCCAATTTTTCTTTTAATTCCTACATATTATTTTAGCTAGTAAAATTCCTATCATATTTCTCCACCTCACCTTCACCCAAAAATTCCATGTTTGATTTGAATTGTTCAAGTTGGATTTCGACAAGGTTGCGGAAGGGCGATAGAAGAATCGACTATTTCAGCCCTGTTTCGTGCCAAAAGCATATTCCGGGTAGTTCAACGTAGCTAAGTATGCGGGAGCCTTGTCGACCTGCTTAGTTGCTGTTCTGAATTCGATTCCGATTAAAGAAAGGTATCAGAGAGGTAGAGCCACTAGCGGAACGGTTGGAAGAATAATTCATGGGGCATAGGCGGTGGTCTATTGGGTCACAGAAATCTCTAGTGACAGTTGAGTTTATTGCTTATAATGTTCTTCGCCGGGTGTCGCTGAAGCCTCGTTGTAAATCCCATAAGGTCGAGTACCAACCGAGTCGATAATCAGCTTAAGCGAGCAAATGCGATCACGTTAATTCCTCCGAGCCGCCCCGCAATTATACATATATTTTTTCGCTATCACGCCATCGTCATCCCGCTCATTTCATCGATGGAAATCTAGCCATTAAGGAACGCAAATGTCAGACACAAACGCCTCGCTTCATCCTTTTCGAGATACGTATATCTTATCGTTTTTTAATTAGATTTAATTTTTGCAATTTATATTTTCAGTTTCTTCGATTGCACTAACTCATTGCACTTTTTCTAATTAAATATAGGATATTCGCATATTCCCTGAGTTCGACCCGGACACTCACCGGTTAAAGAGATTTTTTATTTTTGACGAAGAATTTTGGAGTTACTATACGAACACGCACGACACTATTTCCATTTTATACATATATCTTTTTTTTGTATCTTAAAAGATATTTTAAAAACTCTTCAAAATTCTTCGATCAAATTTTGGCGCCGTTGCCGGGGAATAAGCCTAGTATCTTTGTTTTAATTGGAAAATATTGAGTTAATCTAATTTAATTTAATATTGAATTTTATTTTATTTTGAACATTTAATCCATCGGCGGTATGCTTTGTAGGTTTTGAGAGTGCGATATCCTTTGAGGATCAAACCTGCACGACATTTATCTTTCGAAAAAAAAAAATCTGCAGCAGCGCCTAGGCCTTTGCCGCTGCCCTGTGTTATTTCTTTTCTATATATATAATAATAAATAAATAAATAATATTAGTAATAATAATAACTGCATAAATAAAAAATAATAATATTAATAATAATTTTTGTTGTTCATTAAGGAAATTAAAGATGATCCGCTCGTCGGTTCATAGTGAATTTTGAAGTTGAAGAAGCGGACATCTATCCTTGTGAACCAATGGATCAATCGCTTACAAGAAATGAACCCACTGCCCGCTGATCCTTGATCAAAATGAAGTGCCACTGCACCCGAACCGGCCGGTCAGACTAACCGAGCGTCGGCCAATCCTACACCCGAACCGGCGGTCTGCCCAAGCCAAGCGGCTAGTACTGCAAGTGAACTTATGGAGTCCGAAGCAGAACCAGCAACGAGCGATGCCTACATACAAACCAGCGACTTCAGCCGGACACAAGCGAGCGAAAACTTCGGCGAGCGATGGCACCGATCAAGCCCTGTCTAAGCGCCCTTTTTAAGCAGCGGCCATGAGCGGCAATTGTCCAAGCGGGAGTTAGCAGCCGCGTTGGCTACCAGTCAGTCGGCAAGCAAAGCGATGGACAATCTCAAGCGATAGAATGGAAATCATTCCTGCTCCTCAGCGGCGTCTTCTTCACCCAATTTAGAGCAAAATTATATTTATTATTATTATTTTATTTTATATATATATATTTAATTATTATTTTTTTAAAAAAAGAGGACTGCGCATCATATATATATATGTTTTTAGAAATTATTATTATATTTTTTTTAATTAATTTTGTTTTCTTCTTCACCCAATGCCATTCAGCGGATCAGTTCATCTGAAGTTTGAAATAGAATCAAAGCGAAGCGGCATTAATGTCTCTGTGTGCAAACGAAGCGGCGAAAACAAGCGGGAGATGTGAGCGGGTTTGCAAGCGAAGCCAATTTCAGGCAAGTGCAGCGAAGCGACGCAGACCAGCCCTTCCTGCAAGCAAAGCGATGAATTTATTCTTCTATGATTTATGAATATTTACAAAACACACTCCTAAACAAGAGGTTTTTCCAGTTAAAAATTTACATATAATACAATATATGTAAGTCCACTCACTCAGCCCGTCTTTCTATATCTAGAGACGTCCCTTGTCTCGGATGTGCCATGCATACCTGAAACAAATATTTTTCTTAAAAGCAGTTTAGAATTAAATCCATTTTAAGAACTAACGTGAAATATGTCATTTCATACCTTTTTAAAATAAAGTCTAAATTCCGCCAATCATAAAATACGTGTCATGTCATGCCAATAGTGAAATGATGCAACAAAGATATCAAACTCGACAACAATGCACATCCACATATATATATACATCTGCCAAAGTGAGCAGCCGGAATAACCTCGGTTCTATAATAATAGGCTCACTACATCTGTCTAAGTGACCGGCCGGAATAACCTTGGCCCCGTAATAATAAGCTCATTAGACCATTATCAATAAATAGCCAGAAAATCCTCAGCTCAAGGAAGGACCTGATAAACCCATAATAATATAACGGTCATCCGGTCACCTCCATATACCCACCATACGACTCCCACAATCAATACATGGATAGCCGAACGTTGTCGCAATTAACCACAAGACGCCCCATAGTCTGTGATAGCGAAGATAGGACCCCCCACTGACTAGCCCTATCCCGTGTAAT